CCGGTGTTGCCATTTTTAAAAACTGTCTGATTGTTTAACGGGGTCCGTTTCTTTTCAATTTTCTTCACTTCGATCCTTTCCCGACCCACGAGAGTTCAAACAAAATGTGATCTTGTTTAGATACATCATATATATATGTATATTAGTTTAAAAGAGCCTTTTTTTATCCACCAGCAAGCTTTTCAATGTAGAGGTTAGTCACAAGTTACATGTACTGTACACACAGATGTTAATGAATGTAACTCAATCCGAGGCTTCCAATAAAAAACGTTATTTGGTGGGTCTGGGGTGGAAGTTGGTCACAGTCTGTGGTAGAACAATCTTAATGTTGCAACTGTCAAGTCAGTCTCGTTTGTGTGAGTGATTATAGTGTATGCTCCGGTGGTGTTTACTCCTTCTTTCCTTTTGAACATCAATCGTCCTGATAGCTCTCCTCCTCCTTTGCTATGTTTGTTGCTCACTTGGTGTGGATTGCTTCTTTCCTTTTTGAACATCTACCATCCTTATAAATCTCTCCTTCTCCTTTGTTGTATTTGCTGCTCACCCGTAGCACCTCAATTCTTTGGTATTTATAAAAACTGTCACAAGTGCTGTAAAACCCTTACTAAGACGAACAAACAATAACCGTGCCCCAGGCCCAGACTCTGTCAGAGGTCTGTCGACGCCTCAAGTCGAGACAATCCACCAATACCTCTACAAGCCAATCACACTCATGCACGCACGCACGCACGCACGCACGCACGCACGCACGCACGCACGCACGCACGCACACACACACACACACACACAGAGAGAGAGAGAGAGAGAGAGAGAGAGAGAGAGAGAGAGAGAGAGAGAGAGAGAGAGCACAGATAATACACATCCTAATACGCATAAACACACAAAAAAACTCTCACTCAAACACACACACTCACACACACACACACACACTCTCTCTCTCTCTCTCTCTCACACACACACACACACACACACACACACACACACACACACACACACACACACACACACACACACACACACACACTACACACACACACACACACACACACACACACATATACACACAAACGGACGGCCGATGTTTCTCTTTGTTTATTTTGTTTCCGCTGCCCGTTGAAGAGTCCCTCTGTCCACCTTGGAGCATTTCCCTTGTTTACAAACTCGACAAATGCTCGGATATTTTTTGTCCAAACCCGAATGGGGGCCCGAATTTAGACGCTGTCCTTTGACAGTGTTGTCAGCAACGTAGCAGGTAAAGAACTGCTGCTGGTGTGCTGAATGTGGTGTTGTGTTTTTAGACCAAGAAATACATTTCAAACCTCCTTTTCGAGATATACAATCGAACCTGCTTTAACGGCCACCTGCAATAAGACAGTCACCTGAGCAAACGACCACTTGCCATTTTCTCCGTGACTTAATTCTTACATTGTAATGACGCTATGTTCGACTTCCACCTCTCAAAGATAACTGGGTGGTTGGCGGCTGCTCTAGTGTGGTTTGCTCCTTCTTTCCTATCAAACATATATCGTCCTTATCTCCCTTTCTTTTTTATGTTTGTTACTCTCTTGTAACACCTCTAATAATTCTGGCGCTCATATGACCTTATGCAGTTGCGAGCGCCGCAAAACCTCTACTAAAACTATAAAAAGTAGAGAGGTGAACAGTCGAAACTGTCCAATACGACCACCCATCCTCGTCGATGAGAAAATTGGCCGTTTTAGACAGGTGGATGCCTTGCAGTGTCATAATTTAAATGTAAAAAAAAATATAAAAAACTCCCTACAAAACAACAGGAGGGAGGAAAAATAATGGGAAGTGGTCTTTTGTACAGATGGGTGTCTTATACAGGCGGTTGTAAGAGCAGGTTCGACAGTATTATAACGCCCTGTCGGACACAGTGCAGGTCAATTCCACCACATATATATTATGTTCGGGCCCTTCCTCATCATTGGGGGTTTGGGGGGGGGGGGAGATCTGCTCCTCATATTTCTTGTCAATATTTGAAATGTCTTGAGGTTTTTCGTCATACAGCAGCAATAAGCGGGTAGCTGAATGGCGCCACTTGTAGGTCATAGTTATTTTCTTTTCCTCTTTCGTTTCGGTCAGTCAGTTTTTTCTTTATCCTCCTTGAGCTAAGTTATGACCGTTATTGTGGTTTAAAAAAAAAATTAAAACGAACGATCGTGGCCATGTGAAATTCCTTGAGCGTTGTCGTCCAAGAGCACTAACGGAGCTCAACAATAGAAAATATCTGCAACAACAAAAAAAACAACAACAAAACAGCACAGCCACAAGCAGCAGTAAAAATGACGTCCTCACCAACAACAGCTGCAGCTCGACTTGTCCTTGGTCATGAAGGATTTAGTACACGTATAATCAATAGTTTCACAACTTGGTGGAATCAGGTGCTCTTAAATATTTTGATATAATATTATGATGGAGTTATTGGTACTTATCATGTGTGTTATCTTTTAAGACTGTTTCATATAATTCGTATAATTTTGATGGGGGGAAAATACCCCGCTGTCTCGAATAGAAATTGAAATATTTAGTGTCAGGGGTAAAAATAGCAAGAAAATGACCGCCAAAGTTTGACGACTTCCAAAGCTTTGGTTCATTTGTGTAACCTTTTTCATCTCTTTTTCCTTTAACGTCGATGCCGTCGTCATTTTCACAATGTTGCGAATAGTTTAGATTTAATGTAATTATTTCGAATATCATTTTGTTAGTGTTAAATTGGCGTACCGTCTCGGCTCTTAAGTGTTCCCCCTCTCCCCTTCCTCCGCATCCTCCTCCTCCTCTTCCCCATCTCTCCCCCATCTCCTACTCTTCCGCT